ATCTAGTTTCCTGTACATGATTTCAGGTTTGGGTCTCTATCAGTTTTCTGCAATGAAACCATGACCATGCCTTAGGGTAACTTTTGAAGTCTCCAAAAGGATGATGGGGCCCCACAATGATAATTCCACATGGACTATGATAACACCACTAAGCTGAAAAACACCTCCCAAAGATCAGCTTTGGACTACAAACTGCTCAGGACAATCTCGAGGTATCTAGCTGAGATGATCTACTTTCTCAGACTACTCTAACCAGGACTTAAGACAAGCCCTGCACTTTCTCATTATGCAGAGACTAGACAACAAATGATACAGCTACCTTTCCCAGGACTTGACAATTAACCCACATTTTTCTTTTTGGGATCCTCTAAAGATGCCATCACCCCCAGACAGCAGGAAGTAAATTTAAGAACATGGTGCCCACACTCTCAAGAGGTGGGCTGGATAGTTTTGGGTAGTTTTGGGTCTTTCAATGGGTTATGGATATTTGTCACCATTTAGGGTGGTTGGTTACAAGTTCCTGTTGGTATTGGTCAGGAAAAAAGCTGAGTTTAGATTCAGGGTTCTTATTTTGAAAAGAAAAAAGGGGGATATAGATAGGATAGGATAGGATAAAAGGGTAGATTATGGAATCTACTTTTAAAAAGCAAATACTTGTTTAAAATATTTTACATTGATATGGATCTTTGTATATTGATGCAAAGTTGAGATTGTTTTTGTTAGAACATACTATACATACATTTATAATCTTGCTCAAGGTATTGTACCTACGCAACTCATTTAACAATGTAATGCAAATTTCTAGTCCTTGAAAGCTATTATTACAAACTAATCAGGATACAAAAATGCAGGTTAGTAGTTAGTCACCTATTACAATCGAACTTGAAGTCATATTAGGTATGTTTTCAATGTCAAATAGAAATACATTTTAGATAGACAGGTCATTCTCAAACACTTCTGAGGTCTACAGAATATGGCATTTAAGATGTTTTATAACATTTTTTTTTTTTATGACAATGAGACATGTCTGCTCCTGGCAGCACCAATCTACTTCAGAGATGATGGGCATCAAAGAAATCCCATATGGAGTTTACTTTCCTTGTGGCAGAAGTTAGCCACTGGGCAAGAAAATGCCCTTACTTCAACTGCTGACAGTGTGATTTCCAAATGGGACACAAAAGAAAGGACTGACAACTTTTCCAAGACAAGCTAAAATAGCCCTTCAGAATATCCTGCTTCACAGAAAGTCTATCAGGTATTCTAGGCCTATAGGCCAAAGCTGAGTGCCCCAATGTTACTGAAGAACCTTGGGTGACTGTCCAGTGTTTCTGTCACTTCTCACATTTTTTGGAAGTTGCTTGCTTGCACATCTTGTTTACTCAGGTAATAATATTTCCTTCTTGGGTCTCTGAGGGAGTTGAAGACTTTATAGTTATAGTTTTCCTTGTTACCAGATTCAGAAAAGAAATTCACTAAAGAGGAAAAAAGTATATAAGGTTGAGAGACATTAAAAGATAATTGTGGTAATGCAAGTTAGAACAGAATGTGAATTAGGTACAACCTTTTGGATTCACCAAAATAGGATAGAAAAATAGAGTATTTTCTCTGAATTTGTTAATTGTTAATGGACTAGACATTGTTGATGTATTTATTGGTTGTATATATTGTATATAGTTATTGTACTTATTGTATATAGTTTTTCTTAAAGTAGTTATAAACTTTTTATTTTAGATTAAAAAAAGGGGAAATGTGGTGATTTTTTTTTTTTTTTTTTTGTAATCTAACAAACTTTTCTTAAAGATCAGAGTTCAGAGATAAGCCACCAGTTAGCCATAAAGGCCAGGTAGTGGTGGCACACAACTTTAAGCCCACTACTTGGGAGACAGAGGCAGACAGATTTCTGTGAGTTCAAGGCCACCCTGGACTATATAAGATTGATCCAGTCTAAAAGAGAAACAGAGCCAGGGAGTGGTGGCACACACCTTTGATCCCAGCTTTTGGGATCTCATGCCTTTAATCCCAGCACTAGGGAGATGGAGACAGGAAGTGATATGGCTGGGCAAAGAGAGGAATACAAGGTGAGAGGGGACAGGAGCTCAGGCCCTTTCAGGCAGAGGATTCGGGAGAAGTAAGAAGTGGCTGTGACTTGCTCCTTTGTCTCTCTGATCTTTCAGCATTTTCCCCTAGATCTGACTCCAGATTTTTATTATTAAGACCAATTATGATTCGTGCTACACATTATGATGCTTCATTGAGAGTGGATACAAAGTAATTAAAGTTTTACTTATAACACGCTAGATATCATATTACTCCAACTTAACATACATAGTATTTCAGGTGGGTGTGGCTGCCTTAAGATGATGAAGCTGGAATGCCCTTCTCCTGTTTTACAATTGGTAGTAATGTTTAGATTTATTAGTACTCAAAATTCTGAGTCAAAGCACAATCCTATACACAATGGGTCCACTGTAATCTAAATGCCATTTGCATTTAATAAATTTTACTTCTTACAAATACAATAAGAACAGCAATAACAGTAGCAAGAGCCAAGCACATACTAATCAGGGCTTTGGTTTTCAAGAAACTTTTAAGCTAAAGAAAGGAATTTCAGGAGTTAATGAAGTATGCTTTATTTTAGTCATTGCTAGTCTGGGCAAAGAAACATGAAGTTTTCAAGGAGAGATGGATACTGAAAGATAGTAGTATGTACATCAGAGATAGTCAGGTTAAGTCTGGAGACTAAATTGGATTGAGAGAATGGGGAAATAAAGTTATGTTTCTATAAAGGAACTTCTATAAAATAAGAAAACACCTTTGCAATATTAATAGCCATTATATTTGCTATCTTTTATTTTCATACTTATGATCAGTGTCTAGTTTGGATTTCTATTGCTGTGACAAAACACCATGACCAAAGCAACTTGAGGGGTATGGTGGTTTGAAAAAATATGACCTCTAAAGAGAGTGGCACTATTAGGAAGCATGGCCTTGTTGGAGTAGGTATGGTCTTGTTGGAGGAAGTGTGTCACTGTGGAGGCAGACTTTGAGGTCTCATATATGCTCAAGCCATGCCCAGTGAGACAGACCATTTCCTGTTGCCTGTAAGTCAAGATGTAAGAACTCTCAGCTCCTTCTCTAGCACCATGTCTGCCTGCATGCTGCATTACTTCCAACCATGATGATAATGGACTCAACCTCTGAACTGTAAGCGAGCCACCCCAATTAAATATTTTCATTTATAAAAGTTATCATGGTCATGGTGTCTCTTCACAGCAATAGAAACCCTGACTATGACAGGGAGGAAGTTTATTTGGCTTACAGTTCCACAGCACTATTCATCATTGAAGGAAGTCAGGACATGATCTCAAGCAGGGCAGGAACCTGGAGGCAGGAGTTGATGCAGAGACCATTGAGGTGTGTTCCTTACTGGCTTGCTCTTCATGACTTGTTCAACCTTCTTTCTTATAGAATGCAGGACCAATAGTCCAGGAATGTCATTACCCACAATGGGCTGGGTCCTTTCCCATCAATCACAAATTAAGAAAACTCCCTACATCCTGATCATATGGAAGCATTTTCTTAATTGAGGTTCCCTCCTCTCAGATGACTTTAGCTTATACCAAGTTGACATAAAACTATCTAGCACTATCAGTCTACAATTATTTGTATGTATAAATCTATATAGAATAAAAGCATACTCAATATTTACACTACATAAAAATCCATAAGCACAGATAAAAAGATTCTCTTCAGAAGAGACTAAGTATTGACAGAGAATATCAATACATATATACACACAAAGTTAAGAGAAAATGTGAAATTTTCATCTGTGCATGAACAGTCCTACTCTTCAAAGGATTATTTGAAGGAATAACAGAAGTACATGCAGCACCATTATCAACCAACCACACAGGATTCAAAAAGTAAGACTCAATGCCAACATTAATGTAGATTATATTCTGTATCACTGCAAATAAGCTGGAAAGAAATAAAAGATGGTCAGATACCCTCAGTGTTCAAATTAAACATTTAAGTAATAAAAATGGAAGAAATTCACTTGTAATTCAAATGCTTGAAAATAATACATTAGATTTTTACATATAGTTTGCTAATAAAAATCCACAATCAATGTTTGTGTGGATGTAACCAAACTGAGTTGTCACTTAGCACAACAAACTATATCTGACTATGTTAACATTCCTCTTTCTCTCTCTATGCTTCTTTCAAAGGTGAAATATTCCTTCCAATGAATGCACTGTTATTTAAGTAACTCTGTGTTCTTTTACTAGTTTGGTATTTTAAGGCATGTTGATAAAAAAACAAAGTGCTATGTTTTTGTTTTTTCTACTGTAACCAAGAGGTAGAGATGTGTACAACTTTTAAATGCAGCAGGAAGAACAGGTACACTCAGCCACCTTCCCAGTTCAAGTTCTTATAACACACAGCAGTTAAATATGTGTGTGTACATATGTATGTATATATATGGTTATTGGATTTTAAGAATTTTTAGATTTGAAAACAATACATTATGAAGAATATTCCCTTTGTCTTTTACTTTTCTCGATGTATTTAACATTGTATTTTTTTTTTTTTTTTTTTTTTTTTTTCGGTGTAGCTTTGGAGCCTGTCCTGGAACTCACTCTGTAGCCCAGGCTGGCCTTGAACTCAGAGATCCACCTGCCTCTGCCTCCCGAGTGCTGGAATTAAAGGCGTGCGCCACCACCACCAGGCTTAACATTGTATTTTTAATGTGTACACTTAGATAAAATGATGTGATTTAATTTTGTTAGTTAACACTTTTAAATAGTCTGTTGACTCTCTAAGGGGCTCCCAGGGGAAGGGAAAGCAATTCTTCCCTTGTGCTGACTGGGTCCCCTCCCAGGTGCGCCTGCGATGCCAGGGAGCAGAGTTGGGGTCTCACGCCCTTGTTCTTGTCTTGGGAGCCAGTAAAGGTGTCTTCTCCCACGCCAGCCCTCGCCCAGGTCTAAAGGCCCTCTTACCTATTCTCCTTGTCTCTGTGATTGACTTCGTATTTCCCCAGACTTAAGTACAGCCGCACAAAAGGTAAATCTCCCGCACAGGCTGCCATGTGCAGATCGTTGTCAGGAAAGTATGCCATGTCTAAATACGCAGGATCCCGAGTCCCAAAGCACAGGGTGTTTCTCGGTGCCTTGATGTCGCAGAAACCCAAGGGCGTCTCTTCAAGATTCCTTTTCTGACATTTACAGAGCCCAGAGAAGCCTCGGAAACCCTGAGGCATTCTCCTTCCCATTCGGCTGTACTTTCCTCCCATCTCAGGCACGGTTTATAGCAAGCCAACCGTTACCCGACCCGGTATCAACCAACGTTATTATAACAAGCCAACCCTCTCCATCTCATATCAAATTATAAACCCACCCTCCTGTTTTTAATATTATGCATATTATAATTAGTCTACCCCTCCTTATCGCGATATCAATGATATAATAAGTCCACCCCTCCTGATCCAAATATTATTGTTTGTCATAGACTGGCCAAGTCTCCTCAACATCCTCTCAAGTAAGTTCCTGGTTTAGTGTTTCAGTTGATAGCAACTGAAGAGACAGTTGACAGAACGGCTGTTGTCAAGCCATGTTGGTGGACACAAGTATGCAAGGGTGTGCAGAACACGAGCTATAGATATGCACTTGTGCATAAACATGTGCTTGCGTCTAAAGGCAGTGACGGTCAATGCGCATGCGCAGAGTCCAGCCTGTCAAATCTCTGCAGAGCAGACCTGCATTGCTTCAAACATCAGAAGACAAAGCTGGAGGGATGGCTCAGTTTTAGGAGCACGCACTGTTCTTCCAGATGGACCTAGCTTGGTTTCCAGCGCCCACCACAGGTGACTCACAAACCTCCCGTAGCGCCAGGAGCCGTTGCTTTCTGAATTGCAGGCCTGTTCCTTCACATACACAATTAAAAAATGACCAATATTTTAAAATGTCATCATCAGAAAGCTGGAAGACTGCTGGTCATTCGCTCAAGGCCGACTTGCAGCCGTGGGAAAGCAATCCTTGAAAAGCTGTTGAAAGGGGGACTAAGAATGCCAAGGGCTTGCTCTACAAGAAAATCTCTCCGAACACAACAGCCTCGTTTCTATTCTTCTCCGCATCTCCTCGAGTCCCTGCGGGTCTGTGTGAGAGTTCAACAGTGGAACTAAGTCTGTTCTCATGGTTTCAGAGAGGAGTACAAACTTTGAAGAAAAACCAATGTACATTCTATGCAAACTGAATATCCACTAATGCAAACTTCCTCCTCTCTTCTGCCCTGACTTCATTTTTATGTTCTCCCTAGTTTTATCCTATTTTCTCTTATAAAACCTGCTGTAATTTCAAGATTAATTTTGAAGAGCAATATAATTTTTTATTTTGTTTTTTTGGTTAGCCATTTTCTTGTCCAAACCCATCTTTCCTCACTAGGTTATAATGACTATATTCAGTGGCTTTCTGGGTCCCAACCACTACCTGGCTCAGGCTCCTGCACTACCTCCTTGTCCTCCTCTTCCCTTCCTCGCTCCCAAGACAGCTACTCTCCTGCTCCTTCTCTTCCTCTTCTTCCTCCCCCAACTTCCTGTCCAACCTGAAAAACACCTCCTCCAGCAGCTCTATCAGCTTCTCAATCAACGAACAAAATGAGTCCTTTTACGAAGCACATGGCTAAGGGATTTGCAGGACTTGTCAGTTCTGGCAGTAGCTGTCTTTTGACATGATGCAAAGAATGCTTCCACACCCTCATTTTCAAATTCTGCAAACATGCCAACGTCCAAGAAGTAGAACTTGCACATCCCAGGTCTCTTCTGTCCAACACCACCTCAGTTCATTCTGGAGAGCCCCATGAGTTCACAGCTCCTGCACTTCACCTCACCTTACCGGCACAGTGCTGCGGGTATCCAGTTCTGCTCTGGTTCTGCTTTCAGCTCAGAGCAACGGTACCTTTCCTCCAGGCTACTGCTGATGCCAGGAATTCCCCCTAGTTATGTGCAATGCTATGATCCATGTGTGTGAGGGTTGCTGTACATTGTCTTATGGGTGTCAGTGTGAGCCTTGCTATTGGTTCACATGCTCTGAAAAAACTGAATTGTATTGTCTTTAAAAGTCTTGTTCATTTTGATCTCTTAAACCCTTTATCACACACTGATTTTCTCCAAGAAACAATACAATGAAAATGTTAGCATGTTTACACTGTATAATTATAAAATCAAATGTGTAATTTAGGAACACATGATCTGACACACATTCCTGGAGTTTGAAGATATTTTCTAATGAAATAAAACTCAAAACTAAAACCAATAAAATGAGAATTTTACAACAAATATTTAAGATATGGCAGTGGGTGTTAATTATTTTAAAACATCAATGCTCACTTTTATTTGCCATTTACTATGCTAACCAGTGTATATATACTCTATATAAATAACAAAATAGTATTCCTGCACTTCCCTTAGCATAAAAACCTAATGCTCAGAAAACTTCCTTCTGAAAACAGATATATCCAAAGCTTAGAATTCTACCCTTTTAATAGCACATTACTCTTATAAAATGGATTTCATTGTAGTATTTTTGCATGCATATAATGCATTTGATCATATTCCTTCCCATTACCATCTCATATGCCCTTCTTCCCACCCCATCTCATTCTTCTTTTCCAATTCTCCACCTTTAGTATGCATTGCATTTCTTCACTTCTGGACTCCACTTGTAAACAAAATGTGTTTTTCTGAGCCTGGTCTAATGAGGACATACTGCTCCATCCATTTTCCTAAAAGTTGTACATGCACAGAAAATCCAAATTCTTTGAAATTAATGAAAACTCACACCTTTGCACACTGACACAACTTTAAATCAGTTACACAAAAAGCACATTCTCACAACTGCTCATGCACACATCTGTACCCTCAAACATGTTCACATTGACAACATTCTCACTTTGCATATCACAATTCTCTTGCACTTATCAACCCAACTCATATTTACACTCTCACATGTTACATACACACTCTCACATGTTACATATTATTGAACTCTTGTGCACAACCAACATGCACACATTTGCACTCAAATCACTCTTACAATTTCACAACCACAGCTTTACAATACACTATGTACTCTTAATATATGCCTGCACTCACAGAAATACACACACTCAAATGGACACACATGCTTACACATTTCAAACTCATACACAAAAACTACACACAGTAACTCAAACACACATGCTCACATAAAAATCACACACTAGGATACATTCATATACACTTGCAGAGTTACATACTAACACTTCACACCACTCTGCCTTCTCCCAGCTACTACCACAACACGTAAGGAGCAGTCCTTAGACCCCATGTTCTTAATCTCTGCCTTGCTCTTAGCTCCTAACCCTGACAGGTAAGGGATCCTAGACACTAAGCAGTCAGCCCAAACTTGTACTTTCCTCCTCTCAGCTCCTGCAGCCTACAGGTAAATCGGTCTCAAGACACTCAACACTTGATCCCAAAATCTGCCTTCCCTCAGCTCTTTGGGGCCAACAGGTAAGGTGTTTCAAGACCTGACAAGAACATCACCAGGCCATTGTGGGAGGGAAAATTTTCACAGGGCCCTACCCTGAGACAAAGAACTACAGGGAACAAAGGGCTGTTGACAACCAGAGTGGTCTGCTCCAAGGGAGGAGCCCTCTAATTGGTTATCCAATACCGGGTGGTCAGCCCTGAAATGGCATCCATACAAGCAACACTGAGGGGAGTCCAGCAAGAGTGTGTGTGTGTGTGTGTGTGTGTGTGTGTGTGTGTGTGTGACAATAACAAAGGAAACGGAGGCCAGAGATTTGAGAGGGAGCAAGGGACAGTGGAGCATGAGAGAAGTTGGAGAAGAAAATGGAATGGGGGAAGATGATGTAATTATATTTTAATAAAATAAAACCTACCTCCTTAAATAGCTAATCAGGTGTTTTCTTAAGAATTCATCAGATTGTCCTGAGGCATCATATGTTACCCTATTCTTCATGCTTTTTGTCTTTGGTTCTTATTCATTTATGATTGGCACCTTCCAAATTCCAGTTCCTAAAACTTCAAAAAATGCTGGCAAAGGGATGTCAGCCACAACCACCTCCATCTACCAAGGGCTGCTAGATCACCAAATGCCATGCATTTCACTTACTCTTAGTATGAACCCCAGAGAGACACACCCAGCTCATTCGTTATCCCTATTCAGCTCCCAAGCAGCCAAGACTGATCATCACCCCATGTTCTAAACACCTGGGTCCCAAATCCTTGAAGGAATAAATGTGTACATTAAATATGTTAAAATGTTAAGAGTTAAAGGTACATAGGTCTTACAACTGGCTGTGCGACAGCCAAATTAACTAAAAGACAGGGCTCTAAATTCGTTTTTACATGTTAATATTTCATTACATTTGGCTTGAAATACATAAAGTCAATATCCTACCTGCTACAAACTAACTTGAGGGAGAAATATCCTATACCAACATATAAGCAATTGAAGAGCAAAATGTAATGCATATTATGACTATGGTAAATTGTTATGTGTTGTCAGAGTTCAGGGAGCAGACTTTAGAAGTGAGGCAGCCTCCCACTGCCCCCATTTCAGACTCAAATATGTTTGTCTCATAGTGTCCTCCAAAGCCCCTTGTTCACAGATTGGGGGTAGTTTCCCACCACTGTTGGGGGTAGGAGGTGAACCAGCCCAGAAGTAAAACAGTGTCCTTCAAATCAGCTTGAAGATTCCCAACTGTCATTACTATTGTTTATTCCATAATATTGAAGTGCTTACAGTAAGGAAGAAAATTCAGAACTTTAGTCACAGGAATTTGATCCACAAGTTGACACAGAGCAGAGAGGACACTCTCAACTGGAAACTCCAGCAACTGGCCCATCTTTCCCAGTCCACTTCTGCAGGATATTCTTGCACCTGATTTGGTATGTCTCTATTTGTTTTTACTTGGAAAGCTCACCTGAGGGATCATTCTGTTCTGCCCAGACTCCATGGGGAACTCCACTTTGCTGCCTTAACGCACCCCCCAGTCAGCTTCTGTTGGATGTTTTGTGCACCTGACTTGATGGTGTTTTGCTTTCTATCATCTGCCACTTGCTATTTCGCCTTTTCATTTGGTTTGCTTTCTAGTGCTGTGATAAAGACCATGAAGAGCCACTTGGCGAGGAAAGCTTCTTTAGCTTACAAGTCCCAATCACAATCCCTCACTAAGGGAAGCCAAGACAGGAACTAAGATGACAACTTCAATAGGAAAAAATCATCCTCTACCCTTTACATCCCATCTGTAGTCTGTTGTCACAAACTCTTGAAAATTATTGTAGATATTTTCCTATTAACATCTATACTAAAAGTAGTGATTTAAATACAATCACCAGAGTGCTCTAAATTTAAGTGTTTACTTTTATCAGACTTTCATATTTTCAGGTACACTGTACTAGCAAGTTTCTTTCCATTTGAATAACTCCCTTTTGCAGTTCTTCAACAAATCAGGAGGTGATGTCTTCTCATAGCTTTTGTCTCTGAGACTGCTTTACTTCTGAAAGTCAGTTTTGTTGAGTACAATATTCTTGGCAGGCAGGGCTTTCCTTAGCACTTTGAACACAGGTTATTCTGAGCCAACAGCCATTACAGACAGTCCCCATCTCACTGTCACCAGAGAAGAGTAGACGTAGGGTCTGTCCATTACTGCATTTTATGGTGGTATGCAAGCCCAATACTGAGTTCTAGACCACGTTCTGTGCTTGCTCCCCTCTTCCCGCTGGGAGACTGTGTCTTCATGCTCTGCTGGCTGGATGTGGATAAGTGTAACGTAAGGAATGTACAAACTATCTTTTCTATCCTACTTAATGCATGTTTTCTTAGTACTATCCTACAACCAGGTTCTTTGTTCTTAATTGGCTTGCTTAATCCAAATGAAGGTATTTTCACATATAATGAATTATTTAAGTGGGTGTTCATGCTGGGGATGGATGCTGGAGAGTCCAATTCCCATAATTCAATTAAGGCATTTGGATGGCTTTGAATGTGAGCTCATAAAAGCTTAAAACTGTTTTCTAAATTCACTCACTTTAAAATGCTTCAGTTGGAATGTGCTTTCAATGTAAGTATATCAGGAGAAATTCATTTTCAGTTGAAAAAAGTCAACTACAAAGCTCAAGCAAACCATCACAAACAACCATTTCATGACTTGGAATTAACAGAAGGCCAACAAAGTATGACTTGTTTCTTCATGAAAACCAGAGTTCAACCAAAACCATGATTCTCTGGTTGTCGTGCCTACTCAGGACAGTTCCCAGCCCACAGGTTCAATGGTTAAACCAGTGAAGGAAGATGTGTAAATAAAACTTGTGTGCCAGGGATGGTGGGGCACACCTATAACCACCCAGAAGCCTCGGGCAGGATGGTCAGTTGGAGGTTAGCCTACCCTACACACAGAGAACTTTCTGGAAAAGAGCCAAAACAAACAAACAAACAAGCAAAAACACCCCAGGAAAAATAAAAAGGCTTATTTTCATTTTCACAAGAGAATTCAGTTGATCTGATGTAAATCTAGGATCTCAATGATAAGCAGCTGGCTAGCCTTAAGTGATTGGTTGATCTGCAACATGCAAACAAGATGAGAGTAGATAGTCATGAGGTTTCTGTGACATGAGAAGCGCACAGAAGTTGATAATCACTTCACAAAATATTCTACGTTTACCAGACATGCAGAGTAGAAAATTCTCCAGCTATCTATATCCACATTTGATTGTCAAAGTCTTTGCATACACATGAAGTAGAAGCAATAAAACCAACTAAAACTCAAAAGTCACAGTAAACTTGCGATATAATTTACCAAGACTAGAATTGTGAGGTATTTGATTTGGATGTCATTGAAGAGATACCATGTTATAGTGATTGGTGATGAAATTGTAAACCTCACATAATACAAGCTACAAAGGAAATTTGTATAGTCACTTTGAATTTGAAGGCTTGAAAAAAATATCCTAAAACCTAATAGCAGGGATGATTACACAGAAACAATGTCTTTGGTCTATATATTTACAATGAACAAGTTTTATAACATGAAAATTACAACTCAATGTGACTGTAAAACTGTTTTAAGTTAGGTTAGATAAAACACGTCACCAATGTTTTCCATATGTGTATGTATGAATATGCAGAGAATGAGGGAAAGGAGAGAG